TGGGAAGAACAAGAAATTAGGTTAATTGATTTGTCAAGGAATACATTAGAGTTTGATCTTTCAAAAGTGGAGTTCCCGGAGACTTTAACATGGTTGGATTTGAACCATAATCGAATACATTAGATTATCTCTTTATAAGTCTCCCTTTACCTTGTGTTTATATGGGAGTGTTCTTGTGCCTATCTTCCTTATTTCTCATGTTTTGTTAGTGGGAAACCATGATTCTGTCTTTTGCTTCTATTTCGGATGAAAAAGTAATCAGTAATGTATTTCTCATTCAGTTTCCTGTAGCACACAACAAATATATTATTGCCGATGATTGGAAATTTCTTCATTCCAAAATTTCTGTTTTGATTTTGATTTAGGAAAATAAAATGGTCAAAGATAGTTTTGCCTGATTCAATTAAGTGGGGACGCCCATCTCGAGCCAAAACTATTTGAACTGGCTGTGTAGTATTCTAGGAAAAATACACTGATTATTTCTGTAGGTGAACCGAGTCTATTGATTGACGAAGATGTACTGATTTTTAATAATAGTGATATAAAAGGAATGCTGCAACCAATGTTTTAAAAGGCGGGGGCGTGAGGCGAGGCGTTTTACCTCTGACGAGGCGAGGCGTTTTACCTCTGACGAGGCGAGGCGTAAGCCCTAAGACATGGGGCGTAAGTCCTATGGATCTTTAAATTTTACTAATTTCAAGAATTTTAAGATAGCATAAAATAAAAAATAATTATAAAAATTACATTAAAATCACAAAATTATAACAAATAATCTATTTAAAATATTTATAAATTATAATTCAACTATGAATAATACGAAAAGGATGACATATCATAATATGCAAATTAGCTGCAACGTCGTTACAATTCAAACATCAAAAGTAATGTATTCGATACAAAATCTTATATGTATCTCTTAACGAGTAATGAATCTTGAAAGAATATCAATATTATAATTTAATATTTTTCTTAAAATACTCCTTTTATTTAATATGCTTTCTATTTGAAAGAGAATTTATATTAAAACATAATTCACAATTTAAATATGATTCTCTAGCATCATTTATTTTTAAGTTTCAACAAGTTAATAAAGTGACACATTATTCACCATACAATACCATGATAACTAATTATTTGCAAATAGTTACTAGCTAATACTGAGCTATTGAATTAATAATTATTGTATCTCGTAAACATGAAGAATAAATTTAGAAAAATAATTATAAAAAAATTATGGACTATTATATAGTAAAGAAGTAACAAAAGTTAATAAATAAATATTTTTTTAAATGAAATATTTATTTAAAATTAATTATTATAGCAGTCTTAGTGGATAACGTGCAATAATTTTTATTTTAATTATGACATAAAATACTCTTAACTTAATGATTTATTATTGAGAAAAAAGTAATATTGAATAGTCAACGATTTATTAAGAAAATTTGAGGATTTACAAGGTTAGTTACATACAATTGCATAAAGTTCTATTAGGCGAGCCTAGTACGCTGGGCGTTGGTTGTGTGGGGCGTAAGCCCCGATAGCCGAGGCGTAAGTCTCACGGAACTAAGCCCCACATATAAGCCCAGAGGCGTTTAACGAGTGCTCCGCCCCGGGGCGAGTCTCAATTGTGCCTTTTAAAACAGAGGCTGCAACCGATTCATCAAAGAAGTCACCATCCTTTGCTATTCAATAGAACTTAGTTCTCTTTAAAGGCCTATTGTATTCCTATTGATGTTTTGTCTTAAGTCTTTTATTCATTCGCTTTTAATGGCTTAATGGGTTAGCAACGAACATCCCTGCTTGTTTATGTTTTTAAGATCATAAACTGAATATGTTTGAGCATTTAATCACCTAGATATATATGATTTAAATCTAAAATAAATTACTTGTCTAACAATTTTGAGAAGCTTAACAATTTTGTAGCATTTCTTCTTCCTCTCCTTCTTGAAGAATGTCAACATCTAAATTGCTTTCTAGATGTTGATTAGCAAGCTTTTGTTCCACCAATCCACCTGGTTCACGTGTTTTTGCTGTTGCGGAAGCCAAATGTATATAGTGTGAATNAAAGAAAAAAATGAAAAGAGGGTTTGGGTCTTTTGGGTTATGGACTAGGTCGACCCAGTTCGAAATGGACTGGGTCGTTTGGGAAGATTGGGTCTCTTTGGGCCTGTGACTTAAAATTGAAGAAAAGGCCCAATCCGATCTCTTCTATATATTTTTTGCTCTATTTTCTTTTACTTTCTAAAACTAAATTCTCTAAGAATCCTTAAATTATCATATAGAACTAAATTAATTTATAAAAGTGCAAATTAACTCCCAATAACAATTAACACACAATTAAGTAGTAATTAAACATAAAATTGTACAATTGGACATTAAATGCTAAAAATGCAAACGATGCATATTTTTGTAATTTTCATTCTTGTAAAACAAGCTTAATTATTCCTAATTGTAGAATTAAATCCTAAATGCAAATGCGATATATTTTTGTATTTTTTATTAATTTAACAAATAAACATGCACAGACAAATACAAATAATTATCCAAAATGTCACAAAAATTCTCAAAATTGCACACCAAGAAAAATCGTTTTATTTTGAATTTTTGGGAGTAATTTTTTCATAGGGCAAAAATCACGTGCTTACAACATTGAGTACCAATGCAATAGTATTAAAAATAAAAAAGAGGAGTAAAAGATCCCTATATCAATGGTGGAAAATGACAAAAATAAGTTAGCCACAATAACAAAGAAATCGATAACAGAGATTGAATGACAAAAAAGTGAGAATGCAAGATATTCTAGGAAGAAGGAATTTTGAAAGCTACAAGTTTAAAGTAGAAAATCAAAAGGCAGAAGAGGTAATAACATATGTATGGTTTCTTTTCCTCCGCTGCTTCTGGACTCTGCTCCCTTCATAGCTATTGTCGTCTTCCTGCAACTCACGTCTTCGGATCATCACACTCAATTTATTCATTGTGTCATAATATAGAAAAATCACTATTAATGTCCTTCATTTACTATCAGCTAATGAAAAGGTATTGGAAATGAAAGGTCTTAGAAACTGAAAATGGGGCAGCAGATAGTTAAGGGGCTTTTCGTAACTGAAATTAATATAATGAGATATAATAAATACAATAGAAAATGATCAATTTTTAATTATTGAACAAATTAAATTAAATGAATGAAGGGGGAAAAGGGCAAAAAAAAGGAGAAAAAAATAAATAGGAACCTTGGCAAAAGAAAGGTGCCAAATCACTTGTTCATTCCCTCTTTTATATATATATATAATGATATCAAAGTTGTTAAACTTACAAGGAACTTTTTGAAAGAAATTGTATCTGTTTTGTCTTCCTCCATAGCATTAGTTGGAGCTAAATTAAATTTGAATTCACACCAAAATTTTTTATATAAATATCATTGATAAGATTATAATAAAAAAGAAATACCACGTATATGACTTTCACTTTAAAAAAAATAGTTGATAGAGGGTCAGGGTGCTAACTGCTAAGTGAAAAAAGAATAGGAGAAAATTACTTTGAGGGAAATTGCTCACCGAATAGTTCACACAGTTTGCCCGTTAGTGATTTCAGCATTCTTTAGCTTAATATTTCTTTCATAAAGCTCTTTGCTCGTCTTTAATTTTATTCTTTAATAAATAACTTTAGTTAGTTCTCACTTTTATCCATCTCCAAGAAGAAGAAAAAAGAAATATAAAAATACCTCATCAATTTTTTAGTGGTGAGTGTGATGCACCCTTCAATTTACTCCGGCTAATCCAAATATCAATTTAATCAAGAATTTTAATTAATAATAAAGATAATTAAATGAATAACTGCATGGGGGATGTGTGTGTGTGTGTGTGTGGGGAGGGGGGTTAAAACAATCAAAGAAAGAGGGCGACGAGATAAACACATGGTCATTTGTAAAATAAAAATAAATATCTCTTCCATCTCCTCCGATAATGGCTACACTATGTCTCAATCGTAATTTTCACCATTAAACCCCGATTAAATATTGGTTTTTTCCCATTAACCTTCATTGTCGCATGAAATTTTAATTTAATACGAGATTTGGGATAAAGAAAATTAGGGTTTGGTAAAAAATTTAGTTAGAGTTTGGTAACAATTATGAGCTTTTGATGGACTAAATATTGTTGAAAGAAAAAGACCTAAATGAAGAAGACTATTTTAGAAGAAACGAGAGAAGAAATTCTTTTAAGATGAAACCCATAGGAAGAAAGGAGGAAGAATGATTTAAAAAAAAGAAGAAGAAGGCTAGAATACAAAGAAAGTAGATGGAAAATAAATTTTTTTAAGGAAAGTAACAATAATTAACCATTAGACACGGTCAATTGGGACCATTTTTATGTATAATTTCATACATATTTTATTAAAAAATTGATGAGATTTTTTTTAATATATAGGAAAATATAGTTAGGGAGAGATTTGGGAACAAAATAATTTAAGTATGTAACTGACAAAAACGTGATAGTTTAGGTGAGTTTTAGGATATTTAAAAATAAATTAATAGCATGTTGTTAGTGTCAACTATCTCTCGTAAATATACAAGCAAAGTCAAATAAAAATATAAGTTTAAATAAAGAGAGTAGCAAATTTCTTTTGTAGTTAATCTATTTTCCTTAATTACAAAGAGGAAAAAAGAGAAGCGATAAAATGATTCCATCCATAAATACTAAATAGGGTGCAAATCATGTTCTCCCTCCAAGTCTGTTCTAACTTCTGAAAATCAAATCTTCCCCCAAATCTTTTTTAAATTTCACTTGAACTCCAAATGTCCTAAGTATTTTTTTCAGCCGAATCTCAAATGTCATTGGTGGTAACTTCTGTATGGTATTTGTATTTACTTCTCGATCAAGTTGTCTGAACAATTACAATTTTTTTCTTAAAAAAATAAAAATTACTATATCAAAACTTCACAAAAAAATGAAAAATAGAAACAAAGCAAAAACAGAAGAAAACTGTCATTAAGACAACAAAGACCTAGTGGAGTATAACAAAATAGAAATAATAAAGAGGAAATTTGCAAAATAGCGCCGCCGAAGTTGTAACCACGTCCACTACCCTCTCTGCGGCCGAGCTTTCTCTTCTTTTCTGGAGGCTCCACAATTAAGCGGGCTTTTGACACCATTAAAGAGAATTTCAAGAAAATACCCACAAAATAGGATTGGTTGTTTCAAACAACAGCTGCGAACTTGAAATACCTGATTTGAATTAGGTAAGCCATTTGGCTTTTTGATATGGGTTTCAAATCAAACAGTTGATCATTGAAATGATATCTATAAGAATGTACAACTTATTTGCTCTATTGCATTTTATGTATTTCAGCTATTGAAATTTGGGATTCTCTTAATAGTGTTAGGACCAATCCTGAAGCTTTGGGGAACAACGCTGTTGTCATTCTTGCTTGGTTTTGGGAGAAATGTTTTTTTTTGGGGTCCTAATATATGTCTCATTTCTATATCATATTTCAAAAATTTCAAGATTTCATATTTGTTAAATTATTGAATTTTCTTCAGTTTGTTTCTTAAACTTTGATACGATATTTCACTCTCGCACAAATTGCTGTAGTATTTTCTTTGATTATTACTAATTACTAATACAGTATGGATTTTACTTTTTTATGAAGGTTGTATCTCAAAAATATGTAATAAGTAACCTACTACAGCAAGTTAAACTCGTATAATGTATAAGTCAAATTATCATCTTGCTCTTCGTGTTCTGTCAAATACTGTTATATAAAGTTTAATAGGATGCCCGGAGTATTGTTTCTATAAATGGGAGGTGTAGGCTATTGTTTTTCTTATGGTTGTTTTTTGAAGTAGGCTCATTTCCTTGTTGGCTTGTGCAGGATTGTGTGATCCTTTGTAATATCTTTTTAGCAGGGGGAGCTAATTAGCTAAGTTAATTGGCTCTCTCTGCTTTTTTTGCAAAACCTGAATCACTTCATTTGTCGAAAGAACCTTATTGTCATCTACATCCTCATTTTTTGACGTTCCTTAGCTGATTTGCTATGGCATCCTTGTCACATTTTTGTGGGGTTAAAACTCCCTGCCCTTCTCTATTCAAAAGAAGCGTGCACTTCCGGCAGCTTGATTTTGTGGCTTCTGTCCCTTTTGCTTCTGTACCAAGTAAGTATGCGAAGGCTTCTTGTTATGAGAGAGTGCAGAGTGTGATATGTAAAGCACAAGCAGCTGATGTAGTCGAGCTTAAAGAAACCAAGAATGAAGCTTTTGGTGAATTTACATGCGTGATGAAGTTTGGTGGTTCATCAGTAGCCTCAGCGGAGAGAATGAGAGAAGTAGCTGATCTTATTCTTAGCTTTCCTGAAGAGAGACCTGTTATAGTTCTCTCTGCAATGGGAAAGACAACAAACAACCTTTTGCTGGCTGGGGAAAAGGCTGTCACTTGTGGTGTTTCCAATGTTTGTGATCTGCAAGAATTGGATTTTATAAAGGATCTCCATTTTAGGTAAAGATGAGCTCTTTCATTACGAATGTTAGTTTCCAGGATCATTCTTCATCATTTTGATCTTTTCTAATCATTTTTTATGTGCGGACACAGGACAATCGACGAACTTGGAGTAGAAAAGTCTACCATTTCAAGTGAGTGATTACTTGGAGCTGTGTTATCATGTTTGTTCTCTTTGGAAAATTAGAGTAGGGAAAACTTGATTTTCCGACTTCTAGCAAATTATTTTTTGGTCCCTATACATGTCAGGGTGCAAAATTCTTCCGAGCTTTATTATTGAACCCTCCATCACCTGCATTATCAAAAAACTCTAAAGTTACCCATCTCAAAAATTGCTGCAATTCTAGATTTAGTAAAAGTGTATCTAATGTACGATTGCCGTGTATCACAGAAATTTGTTAAAGCTTATATAGTGATATTCTTTTGGACAAAATTAAATTGAACTCTTATATCCCCCTTCCCCCTCCCTCAGAATTGTTTTACAAGCTTTCATGTCTTGATCCATTGTTTTGCTCTTATGAAAACTTTAATGAGAAATTATACTACAACTAATAAATGAATGCTTTCAGCAGCAGATTTTATGACCTTTTAGTGCTCTGTGAGTATTTTGTTGTTTTCATCCATGGGTTCTTCTATCTGTTGCTGTTATGATACCAGATTATCTCAGAAGTAAAAGCTGAGTCTTTCTGATTATGCTCTATCATTTTTCGGGAAAATTTGCAGAGCATCTACTTGAATTGGAACAACTTTTGAACGGAATTGCTATGATGAAGGAGTTGACTCCACGAACAAGGGATTACTTGGTATCCTTTGGAGAGTGCATGTCCACAAGAATATTTACAGCCTATCTGAATAAACTCGGTGTCAAAGCCCGCCAGGTATGTACATATCTTTTCTTCTGCTATTATTTGGATAAGACATTATTTTTTCAGCAATTGCTGATGAATATTACGATGTTGTTAGAAAAAGTATTTCAGTGGCAGATAATTCCCTTAGTGCCTCGTATTCTTAGATGCAGAGGACATACTAAGAGTTATTCATTTGTTGAAATTAGGTATTAATGGTATACTAATAAGGCAAGGAAATGATTTAACATTGGATATCATCGAGCTACTTGTGGTGTGACTTAGAAACAATTTCTTGAACTTTTGATTGGGCAGCAAAACGTAAGTTGCGTACTTATGTGAGAGAATGAGATAAGTGGTCAAGGTTATGATAATATTATCATGCTGATCCTGCCTTTATAGGAATGCGGACTGCATTATTCCTTGCAGTTGTTTAGATCTTGTTTTCTTGTCGGCTGGCAATTCTTGTGTGGAAATACTGATTATTTACTTTTGGGTTTCCTCTGCAGTATGATGCATTTGAGATGGGTATTATAACAACTGATGAATTTACTAATGCGGATATATTGGAGGCAACTTATCCTGCTGTTGCAAAGAGATTAAGTAGTGATTGGATGAATAATCCTGCAATCCCTATTGTCACTGGGTTTCTGGGAAAGGTGCTTTTTTTAATTTCTTCATGCATTTCTTTTTTGGTTTGCCTTTCCTTAGAGTTGACAGTGATCTGTATATCCAATTGAAGGGTTGGAGGACTTGTGCTGTGACTACACTAGGTAGGGGTGGTAGTGACTTGACTGCTACAACCATTGGTAAAGCATTGGGATTACGAGAAATTCAGGTTACCAGATGAATCTGGCTTACTATTTTTATCACATCTTTAATTTGCACCCTTGCTTGTATAAGCATAAGAAGTTGCAATCAAGAAGCCAGTTTGATTGATGATCCTTTGTTATATGACTGACAGGTTTGGAAGGATGTTGATGGTGTTTTGACGTGTGATCCCAACATATATCCACGTGCACAGCCTGTGCCTTATCTAACTTTTGACGAGGCAGCTGAACTTGCATACTTTGGCGCACAGGTCTTGTTAGCTGTTTCAGAAATTATTTTCATCCTGGAAATCCAATTGTTGTAGCTTGTCTTAGTGATTTATTTTCCTAATTAATAGAGTAGTACTATTACTCTTCCAGACAAGCTAGTTAGTCAAGAAGTTTTGCAGAGATCCTCTCTCTGAGGTGAAAAAGTTTAACTATTCAATGACAGGGATGTATTCGTTGCTGTTGAGTAGAATCTCTTGAGTGCTAGGAGCAACCTTATACCACTTTGTCCCTCTCACTCGTCAACTGAGATTCTTAGTCTGAAAAATCAAAAAGAGGGTCCATCATACTGGAAGCCATAATGTCCAATAGATCTTCTTTCGTGACCAGTTGTTTGATCATTCGATGTAGCATTTGGTTAAGGAGTTTGATATGGATTGCTGTATCTAAGTTGCAAATGTTTTATTATTAACAATTGTTAAAAGGTTCAGGAAAGTTATATTTTAATGGAAAAGATTACAATTCAAAGTTGAAAAAATCATAGAATATTTATCATGGCAAGAATTAAGATTGAAGGTCTATCCATTTCTGACAACCTAAAACGGAAAATAGATGACATAAGAATTTGCAGTCTAACTATTATATTTAGAATAGCTTTAATTCTCCTCGGAATGCTTCTACAGGTCCTTCATCCACAGTCCATGAGGCCGGCAAGAGAGGGTGATATTCCTGTTAGGGTTAAAAATTCATATAATCCTAAAGCTCCTGGTACCCTTATCTGTAGAGCAAGAGATATGAGTAAGGTTAGAGCAGCTTTTTCCACTAATTCTATCTGCAGAAATAACGAAAACATAACTGTGTTTCATCCCGTACTTGCTTGCAGGCAGTACTTACAAGTATTGTTCTGAAACGAAATGTAACCATGTTGGATATTGTGAGTACCCGCATGCTCGGTCAATTTGGTTTCCTTGCAAAGGTACCTTCCACGTCACTTTTTAGTACTTTGCCCTCGAGTCCGGAATCTGATGTGGTTTGTAGCTTCTTCAGGTTTTCTCCATCTTTGAAGATTTAGGTATATCGGTTGACGTTGTTGCGACAAGTGAAGTTAGTATTTCCTTGACATTGGACCCATCAAAACTTTGGAGCAGAGAACTGATTCAGCAGGCAAGCGTACGACTTTCTTCTTAATTTCTTGGCCGCATCAATAAATTGCAAAACGTACTATCGTTTTTCAAGTGATCACTAGTAGTTTGCTAAATTTTGTCTCAACTCTCCTTTTATGTGGATATCTTTCCTGCATGTGCATAAATTCATTCGTGCATTTTATGGTTCTTTCAGTGGTGTGTTATAACATTCTAAATTACTGAACTGAGCAGGAGCTTGATCATGTCGTGGAAGAACTTGAGAAAATTGCGGTTGTGAATCTACTTCAACACAGATCAATCATCTCTCTGATTGGGAACGTCCAGAGGTCCTCGCTGATTCTCGAAAAGGTGCTCTAATAGCTCTTAATTGCTGACCATTATAATCCTCGTAGACATTCATTTAGTGACCAGCAGAGCTTTCATTTGCTTATTATTCCAGAACCTTTTTCTGTAGTATAGAGTTACTATTGCTTGGGTACTTTAGCCCATTTTGCTGCATTATCTAATATGCTTTCTCAACCTAGTTATACAGTAGTTCATCATTATGACTCTTGAGTAGTTTCTCTTTGCATATGATTTAATAACCGGAGTCCTAGCCACCTTAGGCCACATGCTTAGTGTCTCATTCTATCACTTGTATGTTGTTTAAGTCATCAGTATCGGGTTTGCTGTTACATCGCACCTATATGGGAGTTTACATCATTATATATCTTCTTTAAGTGTAATTCATGTTGTGCATTAAATGACAGGCTTTCCATGTTCTGCGTACCAATGGGATCAATGTTCAAATGATCTCTCAAGGTGCATCGAAGGTAATCTACCAAAGCTATACATAAATCATCTCTAAGCATTACGGGAGAAAGTGCTTCACATTATTAACACGCTAACTTTTGTGTGTGATGGGCCAGGTCAATATCTCATTGATAGTAAATGATAGTGAAGCAGAGCAATGTGTAAGGGCTCTCCACAAAACATTCTTTGAGAGTGATCTTTCTGAACTAGTCTGGGAAAATGGATCAGGAAATGGACATGTTACTCCCTTATCCACCTTGTCCACTTGAGTTTCGCCTTAATATGTTTCTTCTTCCAAATAATTGTCTGAGGAAATTAACGATTATAGTAGTGTTGTTTTTGGGTGGGTGGAGTTTTGTCCTAGTAATTTTTATCTTTTGTAGCAACTAGTCGCATTCTACTTAAGTTATCTTTATTGGAGAAAATTCGATTACCATGCCCAAGAAGATTGTGGACAAGTTCTACAAAATGTGCAACTCATCTTGTTAAGCCTACTCAGATGTTCTATATAAGTGTCGAATTATGTTATTCACTAATTTCCTTATTTCCCATTCTTCCCCATGACCCCTACATCTGGTTGGAATGGGAATGTACTAGGACGGGGTTGTTTTGTTTCTGGGCTAATTATGTGAAGATTATTATAGGGAAAATGAAACTGTATAGCTGCTCTAAAAAAAAGTTATATACAAAAAATATACAAATTTTATGCACTTTTGCTGCTATTGATTATAAATAGTTTTGACGGCGGGCTAATAGTAATTTGCCCAAGATCATTATCTAATATACACATAGAGTTGTTTCATTTTTCTTGCATGCGACTAACCAAACTCTGCACTAGTTATGAGGGGATTCTGCATTAGTTGTGCGAGTACAATTCCATCTAACCTCTCCAATCAAATATACTACTCCTTATTTTATGCGGAATCAAGTATCATATTATTATGCGAAATTTTCCATTTGAGATTATCTTTTTAATCGTCAACGGAACGGTATCTTTCAGTACATATCTCACAAATAAAGAGACTTATCCCCCATATTATCAATATAAAAGATAACTTCAATAATTTTAAAAGGTTTAAGTAATTTAAAATTATAATAATTTTAACTGTTTTTGCGGTTCAATTTTTGTTCTGTAGATTATACAAGTGCTGGATCTTCTCTCCATCTTCAACCAACGTCTTAGATGAATGAAACAAATCAAATACACCAAAAAATAAAACAAACGAAGAAATAAAGAAAGAAAAGAAAATCAAACCAGTTATAGAAGAAGTCCAAAAAAAAAAATCTTTCTTTATCTCATATAACATCAACATACTACAATATCATATTCCAATTTATATGATTCAGAAACTTATACCACCTATTTCCTAAACAATTTGGAGATAAAATATAATTAGCTATTATAAGTGTTAAAATAAAATTCTTAATATGGCAGTAAAAACTAAAATGTCTTTTCCACATAGCATATCAAGTAGACTAGTTGCGCACCCACCAAATTTATATAAGTTGTTGTCCTTGTGACATATTAACTACTTGAATTAACAAATAACTAAGTACATTATCTTGTCAATTACTCCCTCCCTTCACTTTTACTTGGCATGTATATTAAAAATAGATTTTCATTTTTACTTCTCACTTTACGCATATCAAGAGAAGACAATAAATTTTTTTTATACCCACAGTATTTATTACTCATTTCAAATCATTTTCTCAAATCTAATAAAATATGCATCAATTAATATGGGTATCATAGTAAATTATACACTTCATTTATTATTTCTTAAGAGTCATGAAAAGTAAAAAACGTGCCAAGTAAAAGTGAACGGAGGGAGTAGTATATATATAGTGTGTCAATATGCTTTTTCCTTTTGCCCTCTCCGTCCCAATTAATAATGGAGCCAAACATTAATTTTCACGTGGATTTCTGGTCCAAATCGTCCCACCATAATTAGTCACTATCTTTTGCAAATATATACTAGTACTATGTATCATGGTACTTAAAAGATAAAATGCTGTAAAATTCTGACGGAGGAACAATAATTAAGGGATTAAGAGTTAGAAAAATGTAGCTAAGTGTGAATCTCAAGAAGGTTTCTGCAAATATAATATAATAATAAGCAAAGCAAAGCAAGGCTGTATTATTGCAGGCTTTGTATCCTGGTAACATGCAATAAACAGCCTAGCAGTCAATACCAAATTAGAAAATGAGCATTTGATTTGTCAAAGTTCTCTTTGACATCATTGGTAGTTAACTTCGTGGGAGCATGATTAACTCTTTAACCTTGGGCTTCGCGCCCTTACCATAAAATAAATCATCGAAGTTTAATTCGGAATACCCACCGAAGGGACAAGGCACATTGCATCCTATCGAAAAGATTTATTTGAATCCGAAATATTTGATTAAGGATGGAGGGTTCCACTATTTCGCCACACCCCTTACTCCGTTGAATAGTGCAACCATCCAATTTTGCAAACTTAAACGTTACATGTTGTGGCATTTAGAAGCATATCTCCGTATCTTGTTTCTCATTTTCCTTTTCGTCCTTTATTTGTGACATCTCATAATATTCTCTATTTATAATAGTATTTAAATACCCGTTTGGTCATAAATTTTGCTAAAATAAATTTGGATTTTATTTGGCAAACACATGTTTTGCCCTAGATTTTGCCTGTATTTTGACAAAATCTCAAAACCCAAATATAGCTGGTTTTGGACCAAATCCCTAATAATACACATGTTTTTCTAAATAAATTTGGGAAATATATTTTGAAAACGTATGTCCAAATACATTTTCATCTTCAAACCAACTTTTACCCAAATCAGATTTTTCAAAACAAATTTGAGAATCTATGGCCAAACGCTAGCTAAGAATTTTGAATATGAACCGTACTCTACATTGTGCCTTTATATTTGTATCTCATCTCCTTTTACATGCTGAAAAAACTGGTTAAATTATGTTACTAATCTATAGCTTTGTCCCCACTACGAAAAGAAATATCTGAACATGATGCTCTTTTTTTTTTTATTATTATTTTTTTTTAAAATTCTGCCCTTTTTAACTTTTGAGCTATACACTAGAAGTACAAAAGGAAAAGAATAAGAGTAAAAATGGTCACTATCCTCACAATGCGTCTTACATCAGGTAGTAAAACAAATCAACAACAACAATAGAAATAATGTCTCAATGCCTGGCTACATGAATTCTCATTGTCTGTATCGCTCCAAATAAGTTCGTCTTGATCCAATATTATTAAAAATAATAGGTGTAATAATTTCTTATATCAGGTTGCGTGCTAGATTCAAAATTTTATATGGTACAATCGTCCAGACCATTCATTCAAATGTATAAAAAGCTACATTTACTGAATATTCATCTGTCACTGGTGGCGGAGCGTCAATTGACACTCTTTTGTCGGAAAATTACACTGTATTGTTAGATAATTTTTTTTGTTCTATGTATATTTACTATACGTTAACTCTCTTAAACTTTTTGATGTATCTGTTTTTTTTATATTTTGACACCATTGATGAAAATTCTAGCTCAACCACCATCTGTCATCCAACAACCTTAAAAAGCACCCCACGTCCTATTCTCTTTACCACTACAATTCCCAACTTCGACAGAGATAGTAAAAGATGGCTGATGGCAAAGCATCTTCTTTACTGAAACCATTGCCAATGAAAGGTGGAGATGGCACATACAGTTACTCCAAAAACTCCACTTATCAGGTAGTTTAGAATAACTATTTTCTTGATTATGTAATACTTACTGCGAATTTGTTCAACTGCCTATAGATTATTCCTTTTTCTTTGAAATAACTAAAGATATTAGATATCCCTGATGACAGAAAATGTTTGCATTAATTGAAAATCTTACATACCTATGATTGTTTGCAGAGAGAAGGTCTAATGGTTACAAAAGAAGCAGTCAACGAGGCAATAAGCAAGTTACTCGACATCTCCAACACTTCAAACACAATTAGAATTGCAGACTTAGGTTGTTCAACTGGTCCTAACACCTACATTGCAGTTCAAAATATAATAGAAGCAGTGCAGAAAAAACATGCACTAAAAGGCCTCTCTACTACTGAGTTCCAAGTATTCTTCAATGATCTTCCCACAAATGATTTCAATACACTCTATGCTTCCCTACCACCTGAAAACCAATACTTCACAGCTGGTGTTCCTGGTTCTTTCCACAGCCGGTTATTCCCCGAATCCTCCATTGACATTATGCATGCTTCTTATGCACTTTGCTGGTTATCACAAGTGCCAATAGAAGTAGAAAACAAGCAGTCTCCAGCATGGAATAGAGGAAAGATTTTCTATTCAACTTCATCAGATGAAGTAGCTGAAGCTTATGCAGCTCAGTTTGCTAAGGATGTCAATAACTTCCTGAATGCCAGAGCTAAAGAGATTGTTGTTGGAGGGTTACTGTTACCTGTCATACCAGCTATTCCTCAAGGATTTCATCGTTCGAAGACCGCGATTGGTTTTACTTTTGATGCCATTGGCTCTGTTCTCATGGATATGGCTAATGATGTGAGTTCCTTAGTTCTCTCTTTTTCTACCAAAGGAACATGGAAAATTGTGATTTTAATCCTTCATCAATATTTGATACTACTTCTTGTACTACTTGACTGAGTCATTTAACATTCACTTAAGTATAATATGACCTTTTGATTCCTCTACTAATGGTCTCCCACAAATCTGAAGTATATATTATTAACTGCAGAATTATGTGACTACCATATTTATGCTAAATGAGGTTGTTTTTGTTCAGCTTCCTCGCTTAGAGAAATATATATATTGCCATACAAATACACTACCATACAAAATGTGTGCATTTTAATCAATTGATAGTTGACTGTGGTTAATTTGTTAGCCGGATGAATGAAATTTATATACAGTTTGAAAAATAACCAATTTTGCGGTTATAGGGAATAATCAGTGAAGCTCAAGTGGACTCCTTCAACTTGCCTTATTACATCACAACTCCAGATGAGATGGTAAATCTGGTTGAAAGAAATGGCTGCTTCAGCATTGAGATGATGAAGACACCAGATCCATTTGTTTTTAAGAATCAGCCAATTAATGCTAAAGAGAATAATAGTCATCTTAGAGCAGCTTTTGAGTGGCTTATAGCAGAGCATTTCGGCAGCAGTGTAGTTGATCAACTGTTTGAAAGAATTGACCAGAATGAAGGGTTTTATTCAAAACTTGATGCAAGTTACAGTAAAGTTCTGCTACTTCTTGCTCTGAAGCGCAAGGGACAAAACTAAAAACATCCCAAGTCCTGCCTCTACCCTTCTAGAATTGCTGTTGATGCCGCTGTGGTTTTAAGACAATGTCAATAATCAACCCTTTTCCTGGTGTCAATGTTACTATCTCTTCTGGTTCAAAACGAACGTCCCTTCAACGTCAAACCAAGATTGTTTCAATTTTCACATGTTTGGTTGACTTTAATGTTTTGGAAAATATTTTCCATATGAACTCCAATTGGAGGAAAAAATTTTCCTTATCAAGAGAAGGGAA